TATTTTACAAATTTTTTGTAAAACAGGTCTAGCGGTTTCGGAGATCCAATAAAAAAGTGAAAAAAAAATGACATTTGGCTGACAAAAATGATCATTAGACGTATACTCATCAAATTATCACATATTTTATAGATATTTTAATAATAAAAACAAATTTTGTTTACTTTTCTATGGGTTCCGTACCAATGTTCATCCGTTATACGGGGTTCGATATTTCATTTTTTTGTTTTTTTTATTTTAGGTAAAATTCAATTATTACCTTTCTATCCAGGTGTGAAGTCACCAATATTGATTTAGATCTAGCTAAAAATTTATACGATCGACTATACTTTTAACAAGTCTCTGTGACGAATTGACGTTGAATTATGATTATTTTAATGCTTTATTTTTTTAATTGACCATCTCGAATTTGAATGTAACCCTTCACCACATCATATTTAATAGACGCGCCCCTGTTGCAAATGCATATGTTACGCAACAAAACATACACAATCGCAGGTTTTACAGGGCAGAACTAAGTCGTCTATTAGATTTTTCTATAATTTAATTATAATCATAGGCATAAATATAATATATAATATTTAGGTCCACTTACAATAGCAATGCTATTGTCATTTAATTTCATTTATACTCAATACTTAATTTTTAAAACTTAAATACATATATTTATATATTTGTTACTGATAACTAAAGCATAATATAAGATATGTGGTTAGATCGATTTAAATGTATTTGATAAATTAATTATTTTTATTGTTGCGATAATCAAATATATCAAATATACAAAGTAAAGCGGGGCTTAAAGTTCCACCACCGATATCTCAAAAACAAGCAAATTAAGGAGTTTGTTAACAACAATGTTTGGAAGTAAAGAAAAAAACTGTATAATCAGCCATTTTCTTATTTCTTATGAAGTCGCTATCGAGAGATAATAGATAATAATGTTTGAAATTTCATCACAAAAGTATTTCCTTTAGTTGTTAGTTTTTTGGTGTGAGCACTGTTGTTTAGTTTCCGAGACCTTGATGTAACTTTCAGGTGTACGTTAATTAATTGTTTTATAAGATGTTTTGTTAATTTTGAAGTTAGATTTAGCAGTTTTTATTTTATATAACTTGTATATAGAGCTGTATTTGTTCTCTATCTATATAATAATTTTCTCATTTTATTTTTTCACCCTTCAGAGGGGATGTGCGACTTCGCCCCTGTTCGGTATAATGTTTACACGCGAAGGGCGTAAGCGATTTTGATTGTAGATATTATCAAAGCAGATGTTTTGTATTTTTTCAACAATCTATTGTCGGTTTTTGAGTGGCAAAAATGTTGTTATTGACGATGAAATTGACGAATTGATTTCAGTGTTGCGATAATCAATTATTAACACTTAGATCTGAAAACCCTTTTTTGAGATTTGTGGATATCTGCGATATATAAGATTGAAAACATTAATAGTAATTTAACACTTTTCCTAATTGGCAACAACCAATTGTTATTGATAGTGTATATAATAAGGCTTCATTAAAGTTGATAGTAAAGATTTTGATTTGAAATGAACAATAAAGTCTTACACAAACTGATTATGTGATTATTTCAAAATAATGATAATTTAAATTTGTTTTTTTGGTCTAAAGGAAAAGACCAAGTACCTAGATGATCCTAAGTACAAATTTAGATTATAATACGAGATATTTGCTCTAGCAAGACGCTAACTAATATCAATCATAATTTGCTTGAATATTCATGTAATTGCAGAGAAGAAATAGGAACACATGTTGTAATATATTAGATATATAATGCCATCCAAATATGGTGGTATGAAGACTTAGATGGACCTGTGATTGGTAATTAAATAATAAAAAGTTAGTTTCATACAGATTGCAAAATTATTATATAACTGCATTTAAAATTAAATTCCCGAAGAGAATTATGTTCTCTCCAGAAAATCCGATTTACTAAGGTCTGTTTTATTTACGGCATTTTAAGTCGTACTCTCGAACTGAATACTTTAAAACCTAAATTAGAAAAAGTATGTGTTTGTAGGCAAGTTTTTCTCCCAATCTGTAAAAATATTCAAAAGCAATTTAATGTAACTCGATTAGTACTTGTGTAATTTGTTGCGCCGATCGGCCGAGTTGTTTTTTTCATAATTAGAAAAATGCAAAAACTTTCGTCCACGTTCTCAAAAATATTTGAATCAATTATGGAAAATTAAAAACTGGTCCACTGTTATCAGTTGCGACTCGTGGCGATCAGCTTTTGGTAAAGATCGGGTGGGCTGTTTTTTTGCAATTAATTGTTGGCAATTTATATTAGATTTTTGAGAGTTTTGCAGTTTTTTTTAAATTTTGAACATTTTTTCAAAGCAATCGCACTGAGTTTGCTGCGTAGAGACGAAATATCAAAGCGCGAAAGCGCCGTGTAGCATACTAAATGTATACAAAATTAAATTAAACAATGATACGGAACCCACAAAATGTAAATAAAATTTGTTTTTATTATTAAAATCTCTATAAAATACCTGATAATGTGCATATGTCTAATTATCATTTAAACCGTCTTTTTTGCTTTGTGTTGTATCTCGAAAACCGCTAGACCTGCCTTTTTGCATTTGCAATTTAACAATTTTATCGGTACTTCATTTTGAATCAATCAAATCGGACGCTCAATTATCTCAAAAATTGAATTACAATTTTAAGCACTTTTTGCCCCGTATCTTCAAATCGGCTGGACCTGCCTTTGCCAAAAACTAATCAGCTCGTCTCCTTAACAAGGAAAAACGAATGTTTTTTGAATTATCCAAATCGGTTGATTCGTGTTTATTAAATAGTCGCCTAAACATTGTATTCAAACATACATACACATACACACATATATCTATTTTTTCTAAGGTACGCCAAAATGTTAAAAAATCTCGGAAACGTAAAGATATGCAAAAAAATTTATTTTTGATTTTTTTGCGGTTACTATAACTTATCCTACGGAAAGTTATTAAATAATTTTAATTCCATCAAACACTTGCAATAAAATTGATCAAAATCTCTAGTATTGACATAAGTTAATTGATTTTAATTAAAATGATTACGAATATTTGTCACACAAAAACATGAAAAAACATTCCCAGAACAAATTTTTCAAGGTGCGAAACTCGTTTCAACTGATTATTGCCAAAAGCCAGACAATGACGCGTAACATCTGATAGTATTGTTAATTTTCATAAAACTTATATATTAAAAATTACAGAACAGACGAAAATTCGATAATTGTGAAAAGTGTCAGTAAATCACTATGTGTGAATTAAACATAATCCTTTGAAATAAAAATAATGTTATTGTCACGCAGCATATTGCCGCCAAGTAGGTACTCTGCTCTCCCCTTGACTTTTGCAAAATTGATTGCGGCATTCGTCGCGCCCGTAGATGACTACTGACTGACTACTATTGTACAAATGGCATGTTTATATGTACTTATACTTGCAATATGTTAGACAAGTTAGAGACATCATTTGAATATATTAAACTATTACGTATTTAAATTAGGCATTTATGATAGAATGACTTTGAAGCGATGCATTAGATAACAAAATTTAATCACGATTTATTACCGGGAACGATATGTGCAAGTTTTATTATTTTGAACAGCAAACATCGTTTGGTTTTCTATAATCTGGTTTGATGATTATTTTTTTTTGTGATGATTATTTTTTTAACTTTCCGTAGGGTAAAAGTTATATTAATCATCCAAAAATCGAAATTGAAATTTTTTACATATTTTCACGTTTTAGAGGTTTCTGAAATTTTGACATACCTTAGAGAAAATGGTATGTGTGTATGTAATCTATATGTATGTATGTATGTATAAATATAATTTTTGTCGACGTTTACGAATGCACCACTCAACCAATTTGAATGATTAGTTTTTGGCAAGTTGGCCCAGCTGATTCGGAGATATGGAGCAAAGAGTGCAAAAAACGAAAATTAAGTTTTTCAGAGAACGGAGCATCCGTGAATGATTCACGTTCCACTTGTATTGACGAAATGGAGAATTGATTAAGTTTTGCAAATGCAGGCCCAGGAGTTTTGAAGATTCGGAAATAAAAGTTAAAAAAATGACATTTGGCGGTACAAAATCATATTATATGTAATTTGAATTATCCTATGTAAATGGCTATCAAAAATTTTTAAGATATTTCAAAACATACAAAAAAAATCAAAAATTACATTTCTTTCCCGAGCATTTAAAAATTATAAATTATGGAACGGGAAGTTCCAGCAACATGCCTTAAAGCACTATGCCAATTTGTAGTCTGATAATGCTTTTATGCATATTAATTTGTAGTCTGATAATATCAGTTGAGTATCAAAAAACGATTTTTAAAAATAATTTGTTTCTATAATTATCTTGAATAATTTAAAATTTTATAGTCAAATACACATTAATGTTCATAATTTTATGATTAAGACGTGTAATTCAATTAAATGCAAAAGAATGCAGTTGAAGTATTCATGGAAAAATCTAGCTGAAAATAAAATAATTACCTGAATTATAAAATATGAGTATTTTCACTTGATCAATAAAATTTAAATTCAAATTGCATATTGCACATGGCACATATTTTTTATATAGAAAATATACAAAATCGTTGCAGAATTTGTTGATTTGTTGAACGAATTTGTTGATTTGTTGAACGATTTTGTTGAAAAATTTGTACATTAATAAGAACAATACATTTTAGAATAATCGCACAGTTAATATGCGTGAAAAACTAAAAACAATTTATATAATTATAAATCTAAAGTCTTATAATTAACTAAATTGATGAAAACAATTAAATAAAATCAATAAAAACCATATAAGTTTTAACATTATTTTTTTCAATAGTTACATTACAGAATTTTAAATTGAATTAACACTCAGTATTAACACCTTCTAGTAAATAAATCATGAAAATCATGCTATTAATTGTTATTATTAAATCATATGAAAATAAAAGAAAATTATTATTATTTTACAGTAAATTCTTTGACCAGTTGGTCACAGATGTCTTTGTGTAAAGCCCAACGTTGTAGTTGACATTCACGTCCACAGTACCACTCACCCTTGCATCGAGAACACTTCTTACTTGCACCTTTGCCACAATTACCACAAATTGTTTCACCTTGTTGATCAAAAAATTCCAAAGCTTCATTGCTATAAGATCCACTTATAGTTTTTGCTATATCCATCATAGCTTCATGATCTTTTCGAAACAGCAACTCAGCCTGTTTTAGTGCTATATCTTTCCACTTGCCACGATATTTTATTAATAGGTCGTTCTTGATTTCGGGAACTATTTCTAATAACATTGCTTTTTTGTTCGACTGTTCACCTTGTGACGTTAAAGACATAGTTACTAAAAAGTGTTTGAGATCACATAATGGTGGTAGCTGATCTATAAATGTATCATGCAGAAATCGTTGGACTTTCGACAATCTGCTTCTACGGAAATCTGATAATTCATAATACGACATTACCGATTGGTCTAACAAAAGTTGTCTTAAACATATCCATATTTGTCCTTCTACGGGAGCTACTTTTATTATATCGCCTCCGGTTACATGTTTCCACTTGCCATTTATATACTTATGCCAACCTTTGTCGTCTTGTTTAACCCACATTTGAAGTGAAATCAGTTCAGCCATCATAAGTGGAAGATCCTGTGCCACAACTAATCTAGCTCCAACACCTACTGGTAATTTTGGCAAATGTTCAACAATATAGCATAAAATTGAAGTACATAATGTACCAAGTTGAAATTGAAAATGTTTCTTTTGATAATCAAACTCTTCCTCGTTCGTGAGTCCTGCTGTTGTTGTTAAAGGACCTTCCATTTTGTACCCCGAAGAAACGAGTGATATAAGTACGCTTACACTTTCAGCAGCATAATCTAATAAATCATAGATTTTGTCATCTAGTTGCACACATGAATCGGAATGAAACATCACAGTTTCCAATAAATTTGCTGCGGTTAGTTCGTGCATGAGAACAATATACACTGTTAAATTAGTCGGGCAGTCTTCAGGTCGAAGATCCAATAGTTTAGGCAAGATTTTTTGACGCCAGACGGAAATTGATATTGCTTCGTAAACAAGTTCGGGTACTTTCTCTAAAGTTATAAACATATTTTTGACATACTCTTCCCGATAATCAGATGCTTCAATTACAGCTTGCTGGCTTAACTCTTGAAGTCTCTTATGACGTAGCAACCAGCCTGAGCTGCCTATTTCTTCAAAATCATAATGATTGAAACTCTCTATGTACAGCTCAACCTCTGTAGACGTGATGATATTCAAATTTGACATCATTTTTAATGTTTGAAATCACTTGGTAATCACTTTTTTATAACACACAAATATTGTAAACTTCATTTGTTTTATATTTTATCATGAATTTCACTTTTGTTTATTATTTACTATAAATATATTATGACACAGTCAACATATCGAGAGTAATGTAATATATTGATCAAACATTTTGTGCATGTAACGTTGACGACGGGCAAGCGCTTGTACACGAAAAAAATGTTCAGTAGAACAAATAAGGTTTGGAATAAAAATCTGTAACTAGCGGTATATGGCAACGTGCCTTAAGGCAAATTGTTGAAACTTCCCGTGCCTTAACGAAATATTCGAGTAATATTAAATGTTTTCAAATAGATTATTATAATTATTTGAAGTATTATGATGTTTAGAAGTTTAGCATTAGAATTAAAAACCGATTTTTTTTTTAATTTTGAAAATTTAAAAAAATATTTTCCCAAAAGCAATCGTTTTGCCAACAAAAGCAGAAAGTTTTTTAAATCATTCAAATCGGTTCTCTCAAAAACTGCCATTTTTTGCACATTTAGCACTGTATCTCCGAAACGGCTGGACCTGGCTTTGCCAAAATCTAATCTCCACTTCTCCCCATCATTACTAATCGAATGTTTTTTGGACCATTCAAATCGTATGATTCGTTATCTTAAAAAACTGACATTTTTAGAACTTTTTGCTCCATATCTCCGAAGCCGCTAGATCTGCCTTTGCCAAAAACTAATCAGCACATCTTCCTATCAATAGAAATCGATTGCTTCTTGAATTTTTCAAATCGGTTTATCCATAAAAAAGATACATATATTTCATCTAGAAAAAATTGAGTTATGGTTGCGCAAAAAGAAAGTGCTTCAGAAAATTATGTATGACCAAAGTTTCTTTATATTTTCATTTTCACCTTATACATGCTATGCTTTCAATCCATGCACTAAAATAGTCTTTTTGTCTTAGAAGAGAAGCTTTTTTAATAGTTTTCCCAAAACTTTCTTCCACCTCATAATTGATTTTACTTCATGATGAAAATATTTATTACTCTGGATTAAACAATCATATACAATTTTTTTTTACTTTTTCAATATGTTTAATACGTTATAAAATATGATAAAATAATTAATTTAGTTCAGTCAGTTAAAAATGTTTTCAAGTTTTTAATAAATACATTTTTAATAAATTTCAGTAGAACTGTTATAGGATATAGGTGAAAATATCATTTTACGGTCGATGCTAATGAAAATCTATCAAACGATTTTGACATATCAAAATATAAACAAAATACCAGCCTAAGTAAGTATAATTGAAATTCAACAAAACATGAGAAAAATATGCCAAAAATTAGAAAAGATTTTATAACAGCAGCTTTATCAGATCTCAAGGATATATTTAAAATAACTGAAAATATAAAATCATGGCTGCAAAATGATAATTTAGATCAAACTTTGAGTTATGCTGACAGCATAAAAATTTTCCAAGAAAAAGAAACCGCTGGGGAACAGTATATTACTTTGCTTGAAATTCTCCATGACAAAATTTATTACTTTCTCGATTTGATCCTGAGTTATATCGAAACTTTGCCGGTAAGGACAGATTCAGATGTCAGACCAAGTAATGTTTACTATTTGACCAGCATGACTTTGGGAACTATAGCAAATGCAATTTGGAACAAACTGCAAGAACTCCGCCGAGGAATCACAAAAATGACAATTACTGCAATTAAAATCACAGGTAATATTCGATATACTGATAATGGAACTCAAACAGATGTTTGTACGTTGCAACAATGCGCAAGTTGCATTACAGCTCAGACGATTGTTAAAAAATTTATTAATATTGTGAATGAGTTATTTAAATATGTTCAAACAATATGCAAGACAAATGTTTGTTTAACACAACAAAACAAATTGACACCAGAAGAATTACTGGAAACTACAGATTTGTTCATTATGCAAACATATACTAAAAACATAGAGCTTGATTTAAAGTCCTATTTAAGAACTATTAAGCAATATAGAGATAAATCCGAAGCGATTAAAACATCTTATGAAGAGAAGATACATGATTTGGAATCAGAAATATCTTTATTAAAAACAGAATCCCAAAAACTCACCGCTAAATTAGACAATATTACGAAATCCAAGTCTGAGTTAGAATTAGAATTATATAAATGTAAAGCTAAACTAGAGTTTGATGCTAGAGAGTATCAGAAGTTAGAAATTGAAAATGAATCTATGCAAAAGTATTGCACAGAAAATACTAAACTCATGAAAACTATTTGCAGTCTCGAAGCGGAGTTACAAAGTAACATTAAAAAATGCAATATCGCTTATGAAAGATTTCAGGAGACAGAAATGCACACAGAGACACTTATATCTAATAACAAAAAAGTTGAAGAAATGCTTAATTCTCACATTGATGAACTAAAAGACAGACATGCAGAATCAATTGAAATGATATCAAAATTAGAACAATACACCGATGAAAAAGAAAAGGTAATTGATGGCTTAAAAGTTGATTTAGATATACTTCAAAAACGGTTTAAAATTTCAGAAGAAGAAAATATGGAAAAAGATAGTTGTATCCAAGAAATGGAATTAAAATTGAAAGAGTACGAAAAGAAATTTCTAATATTATTGTATAATCCCGACTTTTTTTCTGATGTTTCTACAAAGAAGGTTGAATGCGAACCTATACGAGATATGGAAAACCAAATTGAGGCTAACGAAACGCGAATGCAATTATTATCTAAACATAATGAACATTTACGAAATATCTTGCAAAAGTTAAAATCTAAAACTATTCAATAAATAATATTATTTATTTAATGTTTTTATTTTATTACATTTTATAGATATTTCTCTACGTCTTTTATAGATATTTCTTAACGACATTTCACGTTAGAGAAAAAGGGTTTACTATTGATATGCTGATCCACATCATAATATGGTCACATATTTTTTAGCTCTTAGCTTTTTCATAGTTACTATATCAGAATATATTATTATTATAACGTAAAGATGATCAACCAATTTTCAATTTAGCACCCATACTTAAGTTTATTCTATCTAAAACAAAATTTAACAGAACTCTGCTACGTACAGAAATTTAATTTCTGTTTTGTAATTTTATATATTTTTTGCATTTATTTGTTATTATTTGTGTAGAAACTTATTATTATTAACTTCACAAATCACAAAAAAAATCGAAACTGGAAATTTTTCCATATCTTTACGTTTTACAGGCTTTTCAACATTTTGGTATACCTTTAGTATGTATGTTTGGATACAATTTTTCGTCCACGATTTTGTGAACACAAATCAACCGATTTGAATAATTCACAAATTTATTAGTACATTTGATTTGTATTACTAAGGTCACATGCTGATTAGTTTTTGGCAAAGGTAGGTCCAACCGTTTCAAAGATACGAGGCAAAAAGTGCTAAAAATGGTAGTTAAATTTTTGAGATAACGGAGCGTCCGATTTGAATGATTTTTATTTTTATTGACAAAATGAAAAACTGATAGAATTTTTGGACAGACATGATTGCTTCGAAAGATTCAAAATTTCTAAAAAAATTCAATATTCTCTAAAATCTAATTTTTTCAAAGTTAAAAAAATCAAAAATTTTAATATTTGGTACGGGAAGTTCTAGTAATTTGCCTTCAGGCAAAGGCTGGTATCTCCTACTCATTATCATATATTTATTATCTAATACTTTTGCTAAATATCCACTAAGGATAGTTGCATATTATATGGTAAAATAAAATCATAGGAATTAAAGAAAGGGTAATTTACGTGGATAAGTTTGATATTGCCAATGATATCAACGTTACCGACAAGTACCAAGTACAAGTACAGTTACGAATTTTTCACCAACAATATTTGAAAGTAGAGGGTAAAAGACGTATAACCAGCCATCACCTTGATTTTAAAGACGTTGCTATCGTAAGATAAGCGGCAATGTTTGAAAATCCATAACAAAAGTATTTTGTTTTCAGATTATAAATTGTGAGCACTGTCGTTTAGTTTACAAGACCTTAATATAATTTTTAAGTAAACGTTATTGAATTGTTCTATGAGAGAGTATTGTTAATTTTAAGTTAGACAACAGTTTTTTATGTAATCTATATAGAAGCTTACACATAAGTGGGGTAAGAAGAAGCAACTGAACCTTCAAACTGGCAATGGTGAAAATAATAAAAAAATAATAAACAAAAAGTAATTTAAGTTCAAAAAGCAATTTGTCACGAGATAAATTAAATAAATAATCATTCCAACTCTGCTGCTGAATATTTCTCACAAAATTCTAGATCAAGGTTATACAGGTATATACAGGGTTTTCTCGGTAAAAAAATGCATTTATGAATATAATATATCATCTATATTGTTTGAATGATACAGCTTTCATTTCGTAAAATTCTTTTAAAATTACAAATAACGATAATTCCTGTCTGCCTCCTTTCTGGCCATCTCATTTTACCCCGCCTATGGGGTAAAAAGGACCATGTGATAAATTTTTGAAGAACTGCAAATAAAAACACACATTTCTATAATGATAGTTGTTTGCTCTATGAGAAATAACACATATTTGTGGTGATATAATTGGTTTGGTTTTCACAATATATTTGCTCAATGTCATATTGGACCTTCTTGCCTCGCCCTGCTCTATAGTATGGTTACAAAAAAAATATTGTATGTTTTGTTCTATTTTGAATGAATATGTTAATTCAAAAAGTTAATTGAAAGTAGTGTATGTATTTTATGTTAGAAGTGAATGTTGATTGCAATATAAAACAATCTTAAAAAACGTCAAAAACAATTCGTTATTGACAGCCATTTTATATATTAGAAATATTCCTTAAAGTAAACTTTTGTCAGTGAATGTCTTCAGTAATGGCTGTCCGAGATATCTTGGATAACAAGACAGTTACCATACGGTTTGTTGGTTAGGTCGTTATCTTGTTTAACCATGTGTGCACGGATGCTGTCCGCCACGTAACTAACATCGAAGATAAACGACTGCATAATAAAACCGCCATTCATATATATACCTCCGACCATCTTCGACCACCTCCAACCACCACCGACTCTCTAGAGGCGGCGGACGTCGAATCACAGACCAGGCCCAGAAAATATAATAAGATGCTACGATGCGTAAATGATAATAAGAAAAATGGAGTTACGACTGTAATTTTATTATATGGGTATATTTTTAGGAGAATATAAAAAATATTTCGGAGGGCTAATTATTAAAAATATCTTTTTAACAATTTTAGGAAAAATTGTTATCGTATTAATTGAATCATTCAACAAAGATGATATGAATATATATGTAGATTGACAAGAAGTGTATACATCATTTTATTATGTTTTTGCCAGAAAGCCATTCTGAATTTGAAATAGTATGTTTGTGTGTATGTGAGACAAAAATTGACCATATGGTTGGTTCGATTCCCGATACTGCGAAGCCTGACATCAGGCAACTTTGATGTCAAATTTCCACTTGAGGTCATAGATCTCAAATATAGCCTCAAATGAAAATCGCCTTTCGTGAGTATAGTTGCACATATAATAAAAATGTCAGCAAATTCTTCGAGCATAAATAATTAGTCATTATACCTAGTAGACACGCCGCTGGGTGTTGCTACTATCTTCTGGTTTATATTGTAATATAATCATTGTTAGTAATCTCTGCTTAATGTTAATGTTAATGTCCATGTAAAACAGATTGCAGAATGAATTAAATAAAAAAAAGATGAAACTCGGAAGTTTCTTTCGACGTTTCAATGAACCGTTTCTTCACTATTAGCAGTTTATGAGTACTGCAAAAAACTATGAGTAGTTTTTTTGACGTTTGTTTAAATTAAAATTAGACAATTTACTTGGTATAACGATAGAGTACTTGGTCTTAATAACATACTAAACAGACTAAACCAACCGCCGCTGGGTGTTGCTACTATCTTCTGGTTTATATTGTAAGATAATCATTGTTAGTAATCTCTACTTAATGCTGATATTCATGTAAAACAGATTGCAGAATAAATTAAATAAAAAAAAGATAAAACTCGGAAATTTTTTTTCGACGATTCAATGAACTGTTTCTTCACTATTAGCAGTTTTGTTTATCGATATTTGTACCCATTTCACCATGAAACATCACAACCCATTAATTAGGTGTCTGAATTACTATTAGTAGTTAGTCCATCTTTCCACAAAAAATTGTGAACCGTTTTTAAAATTTAAAAGCCTTTCGTTTAATATAACTTGTTGATCGTGTTTATTAGTTTTTGGTAAAAACTGACCTAGAGATAGGCTTTATGGTCTTAACGAACATACAATAATATAATAAACCTACAAAAAGTGCTTTAATTAAAACTATTCCTTTATGTTTAAAAGAATTAGCAGCAATTTTAAAACCTTCAACACCTATATCCTATAATCTATGTGTCCGTGAACTATATTCAATACTATTACAAATATTAAAACTGTGTTTGTAATATGATATCAATAGAAGTTTTTATTAACTTCCCGAAGGAGAAGTTTATGTTTTCATAAAAAAAATCTCGACGTTTAAAGCCATTCTGAATCGAATGAGACCAAATTTGAAAAAAAATTGTGTGTGTTTCTCCAAAGCGGCTGGACCGATTTCAGAAATTTAAAAGCCATTTGATGTATCTCAATGAGGACTATCGTTTGTTAGTTTTGTGCGACGATCTGCCAAGCCGTTTCTTTAAAATTAAAAAAAAAGTGAATAATAAATAATACTATCATGAAATTAGTTTTTCATTCAACATGTTTACATCAATTTTATTATTTTGATAGGATCATTATAGATTAATTGCGACATTAATATTTATGGAGAAGTTTCTTCTCGCCAGAAAATTCGATTTACTTATTTTGTCTTTCCGATGTTTCAAGTCATTCAGATTCGTTTGAGACCAAATTTAAAAAAAGTTCTGTGTGTATGAGACAAAAGATAAATCGTTTGACGAGACCAACTTGAAAAAAGTGTTGTGTGTATGCGACAAAAGATACTCTTCTTTCAACTACTCGACTTTAATGCCTCATGATCTAGAAAATTGATTATGAAGTATAAAATAATTTATGAAATTATTTTACTCGCATTTTAATCGTATAATTTTAATTATACATTTTCGCAAAAGCTCTGAATGAGTTTTCCTTCATGATGTTTGCTTAATCCGTTTCATACATCCTCTATAATTATTTCGTCAATTTATACAATTTCAACAATTTTCATGGAACACTCGAAGTATATACATACCTACTACATAGCGAGTTACCAGATACAGTAGGTATCTATTATGAACCAGAATTACATCATAATCTACAAGAGGGACTAGTACTGTTTACTTGATGTTCATACGATGTATTTGCATCTATCAAGTGCTCGGATTATTTCAATGTTATTATTTCTAAGTGGAGAGGATTCACTTCGCTAGTAATTACAGTCCCTTTGCCTCCGTCGCACATGCTTAGTTTAATACTTGCTGTAGGGTTGAACGCGAAGCTATTCGAACTGGATCCAGAAGAAAATTCATCCCTGAGTATTTATTTACAACTTACGATTTTTGTAGTTGTATTTCAAATATAGATTTTTCTAATGGATAAATCATTGAGTTCGGATTAATTCTGTTAACTTCCCAAAGTAAAAATATGTTTTTACCTTAAAATCTGACTTGCTAATTTGATGTTTTGAGCCAAAATTCAAAATTTAGAAACCATAAGATGGAAAACTATAACGACAAGGGTTGGTAATTTTGATATTGGTGAGTTTCTTATAATTAG